AGATGTGTGTGCGAAGAGTCTTTTAAAGGTTCATAGAAATTTCATATAATGATTAGGTTCTATAGAAGGTTCTTCCTAGAGCTGTTACATTGTGTGGATGTTCTTCAAACATATTTAGTTTACAAAAAACAATCTCCAGTAAACCATCCACTGAAAGGTTTTTTATGAAACCAATAGCAGTTCTTCTATGGCATTGCAAGTGTTAGATTATAATTCCACTATCCATTGCACAGATGGGATCACCTTCTGTATCTGGGCTTCCCTCAGGCTGGCTTTATGTGGTGTGCCTGCAATATAATTTCCATGCAACTTGCCAGTGATACAAAGCAATTCAAAAGTGACCCACGACCTTGTTTACACCTGGTCACTTTCATACATCTTTAATATTAGGATTGTATCTGAATGAGGCCAAGCCACATAAAATTGCAAGTGTAAATGCATCCAAGATGCATTTAAAATAGATACAAATCTGATTGCCCAAACCACTTCAGGAGGTGGTCTGAGACGCATTCGAGCCACATGTTATGACAGTGTAAACACATCTCTCTCCAAGATGCATTTGACAACCAAAACCCCTCCCAGTGCAATTGAAACTCCTCCCTATGCACTACGTCCCAGGGCACATGATCCGTGTCTATGAGGAAAATAATCATGAAGGATGCACATGGATGGGGACCGGATGAAATGAAATGCTTAACCCCTTAAAGTCTCAGTCTTATTACATGCTAAGGCTTATTATTCCCTAAATAGAGGGACTTCAATGCAAACTGGCTGAGTTACCAGCTCACATGCATTTACACATTATATACACTTCCGTCACCAGTCACATAAAATGACGAGGTTCAAAGTTGCACACAACATATTTGATTACTTCTCTAATTAGCCAAATTAGCAGCATGTATGTTTCCCACATTCACTACATAAAGTCATCTGCAAGATGTAGTTTACATATTGGCAGTTTACATATTGGCAGCATTTTTAAGCAAGAGAGGAGAAAATGAATCAAGCTATGCAAATCATGATAATAGCTGGATAAAAAAAGATGACCATATGGCAGCACAAGTAGCCATTTAATGAGCTTTAGCCTTTGTAATACCAACATTGTGTAAAGTCAGTTCCAAGCATTTTTTAACCACTTAATAAACCATCTTCTGGTCATTTTCTTATTCACTGATCCAGTGAAAATCATTTGAAAGTCCTTCGATGTCTTATTGGCATTTTCATTGGCTGTTCCGTTAAAATTGTTTCATGAAACTAAGTGCTTGCGACTGTTGTGGCTGAGTTTAAAGCGAGTTGCAGGGCCCTTTACATTATGCTGCTCAGTTTGGTTTTATGTAAGTTGGAAGTAACTAAAGTCGCATGAAAGTTTCACTGTGTAAAGCCAGCCTCAGAGTATATTCCTCATGCAATTTGATAGACTTTCTTCTTGTGATTGTTATTCTTGGTTTGCTTCTTAGAATTCTAGACCCTAGAAACACAGATGTCAAGTTTGAAACAGCTTCTGATGTGAACTCTTAAGTTGCCGGTATAAACTATCTGATGTTCTTAGAGATCCTCAAAAATAAAAGCGCCAAAAACAGTTCTTCAGATTTATATCATAAAAGAACCACTTTGGGTATTCTAAGGAATTTCATTTTAACCATGACTAAGGAAACTGATAATGTCCCTTGTTATAGCTGAAGTGGCTAACCAGTATTAACATAGTCAATCTATGTGCTTAAACTTGACTGTAAGCAAATGGTTAGCAGATGGTGTACCGATAACAGCTGCTAAATAGGACAGATTTCCAAAAAAATAGTGCATTGAAATTGGGATTTTTATGCAATCAGACTGTCTGTGATAAGGCTGTATACTCATTCTGTCAGTATGGAATGGTTCCTGCTACCTTGGTGTTCCAAGCCAGCCTGTTTTGATATACCAGCCCAAACTGCCATAGTAAAATGGTTTGTGTTCATTGAATTACGAACAGAGTCTACTACTGTGTTGCATACACATATTTTACTAGCGGCTCTTAGGCCATTTAAAATGGAAGATAGCCACAGCTTAAAATGTGCAGTTCTTTTTAAGAGTTTACCAAAATGGCGAAAGGCTAATGCATAAAATATACCCAAACCTGTGTAAAGTGCACATCAGTGTAACCCTGTAAACAGCTGCTTTCATAATGAGTTTAAAAGTGAAGCGCCTACCTAAATTTATCCAATAAGACCACACTGTGGCACTGAAAAAATGCAACTGTGTGATTTTTACACTGTTGGTGGAGTGATGTGTTGCGAAATCAAGCCTTATTTTAATTTTATTATGTTAGGAGCTTATACAGCTGAATGCAAAAGGTTGAACATTCGTATCGTTCATTTTCTGAGCAAAAATAAGTTAAAGCTACACTATGTAAGTTTGGGGATTTGGAAATCTCTCTGGAGGGAATATGGAATTGCAAAAAATGTGTGGAAGAACTTTTTGTAAAGTCAATTGTGCTACAAACCCCATGAGCAGATAAATCTGATTGTTTATGAGCACTTTGAAAGAGTATTCAATGAGAACTCAGTCAAACTTGGTGAAATGTGATGTGTCTTCCGAGGATGTGAGTGAATTATCTGCTATTGTCATATCTTCATCAATATAAAGTTGATTTTACATTGGACACCTAAAGCCGGACCTTCATTTTGAGCCTTCGCGTATGTCATTAGTATGTAAAGACATATGATGTGATCTAAAAAGAACTCCCACCAAATCTGAATTTTATTTATTATATGATTATTTCAGGCTTTACAGGGCGACTCGCAACAGCGCCCGGGCATTGTGTTCTAGTATGTTTTTTTTTTTCCCTACAGGCTCAGTAATGCTGTTTTTCTTTTCTGCAAAGTTTTAGTGCATAAGTATGCTGAGTTTAACATATATATATATATATATAACATATATATATATATAACATATATGGGATAAAATAAAACAGAAATATAAAGTATGGCAAAACTTTAGCACAGGCCGTACGTTCTTTTTTATTTTGTATGTTCCAATATGTTAAAATCTTTTGACTTAGGAAAAAAAATAACTTTACTTAAGTTGACAAAATCTGACAAAACCAACACAACGTTATATGAACAGTGGCACTCAAACCGTACCCATCACTGAAATGGAGATTTACAAGAGTAATGAAAAAGGATTTTGCATGTCCAGTATACATAAGTTGTACAAGTTTTCTTGGAGGCACTAGATCATAAAAGTTACTTCATAACCTCAGAACTCATTGAGGAGGCTGTGTGTTTTCTGAGAAGTCTGCTTTCCAACAGCAGACCGCCTATCTGTAATTATTCTTTATCAGAGACAATGTCTTGGTTAGTGGTTTTTCCTCTGTTCTGTGAGTGGTTGTCAAGGTGATTGTCTATACCAGCAGCAGCTCTCCATGTTCAGTACACACAGTTCTCTCATGAACCTTTTGAGTCTAGAGACTGTATGATACACTTTTATATAGATGTTGTGCAGATTGTGTTGATCTTCTCGTCGTGTGTGCTATGGTAGTACAATGGCATCTGAGAGAGAGCAGATAGAGAGAGTAGCGCATACTGCCTCAAAAAATCACTGGAACTTCTATCTGTTTCCTCTGTATATGCCAGAAGGGTGAAAAGCATTAAAATCTATGCAGACAGCTCACAGCCAGCACAGTACTCCTTCAAACTGCTCCCTTCTGGCAAAAGGTTTCAAAGCATCTTATGTAAATCATCTCGGTTTAGTAACAGCACCTGCTCTTCTGCAAACTCCACAACGTCAACCTTATTGATGATCATGCATGTATGTGTATGAATGTATATTATTTGTGTGTTTGAGCAGCACCGAAAGAAACTCCACTCATTCAAGCACAGACTGATATGGCAGTAAAGTATTGAAACTTGATACTTTCTTTGTGTATATAGTTGAAAAAAAAATGTAATTAAAAAACATACATATGCATTTTATATCATTCTGCAGATATGAGATATGTATGGAAGTCCAGAGAGGCCATGAGGTAATTGTAATTTTCTAGATTGTTTTCTTAATTAACTCGTTATCTCAAGAAAACAAAGTTGTTGTCTTGTGATAACAAGTTTATTATCTTATGATCTCAAGATAACAAAGTTGTTATCTTGAGAGAATGAGCTAACTATCTTGTGATCTTAAGATAACAAAGTTGCTGTCTTGAGTTAACGAGTTAAGTTTCTTATGATCTCAAGAAAACAATGTTGCTGTCTTGAAAAAAATGAGTTAATTATCTTGTGATCCCAAGATACCAAAGTTGTTATGTTGAGATCACAAGATAATTAACTCATTGTCTCAAGATAACAATCCAGAAAATTATAGCAACAGCTCTCCAGACTTCCGCAGAGAGGCCATGTTGCTATAATTGTCTGGATTGTTATCTTGAGATTACAGCTTGACTATCTTGTGATGTCAAGATAACAACAAGATAGTAAAGTCGTGATCTCAAGATAAGAATCCGGAAAATTATAACTACCTCTTGGCCTCTCTTAACGTTCATAGGGATGTGACTTTTTTATCTGTGACATTTTTCTGGCTACTTATTGCCAGTTTACAGATTTTTTTTACAGAGTTTGCAAATTTACAGTAGACCAATAATCCACATGGCTGTGATTTCTTTTCCATTCATTTTTCTCTTTCTTTTGCTTTTCTTTTTTTTCACAATAAAAAACAGCTTGTTCAGGTATGGAATGCAGTAGTGCGTTTTTCACATTCCAGCCCACGTTAACTGATGTTTGTTGGTGTAACTGATGTTTAAAGCTTCACCAGCTGCTGAAAGTCCTTCCAGCAGTTCGAACTTCATTACGACGCGCTTAATCTACTGGAAACAAGCGTGCGCGTCCAGCAGACCGCGCTGCGTCTCCGGCCCCCTCTCCACCCCTCTCCGTTTCCTATTGGTCTGTCTCGAAGTGGCACTTGCGCGCGCCAAAAGCGTCCGCGCTGCGCCAGAAGCGTCCGGTCAGTCAACGCAGATGAGGCGGACGCGTCGCGCTCTCGCGCTTTCCGTTCTTTTACGCACGGCGACAGGCTGCCTCGGGCAGCGCGCATGGTGTCCAAATGAGCCACCGCTCTCACGGATCGTCCAACATACAATGGATTAACAGGAAAGACATGAGCGTCCGCACGGAGGACAGCGTCAGCCTGTGCCAGAGGGCACTCCAGATCGTCACGGAGCTGTGCCTCGCCGGCCACGTCGACCGGGAAAAATGCTCGGACATCTTTCCGATGGAGAGCAACATACCAGGTAAAGGAAATTCAGGTAAATCTGACTAAGATCATGTTTCTCTCTTCCACCCTTTGTACACACAATGCTGAAGCTAGTACGCGTATCCCCCCGAGAACTCGTCCTCAAAGTTTTTCTCATCACACTAGTGGCCAAAAGCAATGACCACAGGCTCTTACGGAGCGAGCAGTGGCGCATTGCGTGCTGTAATGTCTGGCAAATCCCCTGCGTAAACTTTGTACGAGCAGAGCAGCGGCCCTTCAGGACACTTTGTGCCAACTGTAGCTCGCAGCTAGAGCGCAACAGGTTGCGGAACAGGCAGCTTCTCTCCAGTGTTCACCGCTGCTCGCTTAGACGATTCGGTTATCTGTTGTTCTTATACAGTGAGAGGAACCAAAGCAGTGATTTAGCGACCGAAAGTATGTCGATGTTAATTGCAACTTAACCTTTAACATAATTCATAGTTAATACAAAGAGTTGTATAGTTTTCCGTTCTCCACACACTGAGGCGCGTGAGGAAAATCAGTGAGAACCACAAAGACCCCATACACTCATAGGTTCTGTCGGCGGAACACCTTGTACCGTCTCATAGTACATGTAGCGCATGCTGGGTCGCACGTGACTAATGGAAGTCGCCTAATGAACAGCTATGCACGGCTGCGTGGCTTTAAATGCTGACACCTGTTCCTCGCAGGAGGGCTGGTCTGTATTAAACATGAATGCTGTTGAGCAGCAGTCCTGTTACCCTGCACAATGCAGTGCATCAGACAGGGAGCCAGCTCTGTTCTAGAAATGTGCATTGCATAATAAACCTCCATCCTTATCCCTGAACCCCTCCTCCCTACAACAACGCGCGCGCGCACACACACACACACACACACACACACACACACACACTTTGCCAGATCATTTTCTCTTTTATATGGTTATGGTTTAACTGTTGGCATGTGTCAAACCTTTATTATTATTTATTGGATCTTAAAACTATTTTTTGACTTCATTGAGATTCATTCTGAAATCTTATAACACCACAGTAACAATTATAAGCTGATGAGACCTTTATTGTGCTTTTTCAGTACCAATTGAACCCTGATTCATAACCAGGGCCACCTCTACACTCTTAGCCAAAAGAGTTCTCTATAGTACCAAAAAAGGTTTCTTTGACTTGTGGAACCCTTTTTTGTGCTATATAGAATCCTTTTCAGAAAGGTTCTATATAGAACCATCTACAGCACATTCTCCATCAATCTGAAGAACCTTTTCATGATGCAAAGAAAGAAATAAAAAAAGAAATAAAAATAGGCAAAAATTAGGCAGAATAAAAAACTTAGACATAAGTCAAAGTATGAGAGAGTAGGAAAAAAGTATATTTATTTGCATAATTACAAAGCGTATAAAACAGATTTGCTGTATTTACATGAGAGCAGGTATTGCACTAAGTGGTATGAGGTAGTTACTACACAATGAGTATAAACATAACTAGAGTTGCAGCAGTATTTACAGTCTAAAGTGTACAGTGAGAGTGTCATAACAGTAGCGATTATGATAAAATTGCACAGCAGGATTTTTTGCCACCACATCTTACTGTACTGTACAATTAAAGGCTAACTAATAGCAGTGACTACCACAAGGTTTATAAATTATGTACATTTATGATTTGCCTATTGTTGATGATATTATATATATATATATATATATATATATATATATATATATATATATATATACGTATTAATGATATCAGATGCTTGTTTGGGGCTCTAATAATTTACAGTGTAAATGACATTCACCTTTTCAGCATTCTCATTCCAGAGTCTGTCTTATGAAGCAGTTTCATGCTTTCCCAGCTAACTTTAAGATCTTAGTTGGATCTTAGTTGAAGTTGTCATTACAGATTTTGTGCAGTTGTCATTGCTGGTAATTATCATGACAGATGTCTTAATGTTGTCATGTCATGACAGCTTATGTTACACAAGCGTAGGTGGCCGCCGTGACCTCAGACATCATGACAATCACCAGTAATGGCAACTTGACCCATCAGTGGACGTAATCTGTCACAATGACTCATATGACATCTTCATCTCAATGTTATGTAGCAGAGTTTTAGTAAAGTGTTACTGAATTTCCTACACAAACTAAAAATCTTCCCTTTCAGCAGCCCAAGGCATGTCTGCTTGGGTGGACATGAAGAATAACAATGCATAAAAATTATGTTCAATTATTTCGCAAATATTTTGTGCGTAATTGCATCTGCAACTATAAAACCTCTCTCTGTTTTTTCTGTTCAGAATTAGGTTCTATATGATTGTGTTCCCTTCTCTGCTAAACAGAACCTTTAGTCTTCTCCTTCTTATGCTTTGCCCTTTCTCTCCTCTTTTTCTCCCTCTTCTCGCCCTCTCTCTTCCGTGTGTGTCTGTCATGCACTTCTCATTGCTGCTGGCCTTTTCCGTCTGTCCTGTCTGTCTGTCTTTCAATTCCTCACTCATTCTCACTTCACCCCCCCATCCTTCTTCTCCCTCTCTTGTTCTTTCTGTCTCTCTCTATCACACCTTCTCCCTCTTTCTTTCTGCTATCCTTACTTTCGTTCTCTTTTTCCACCTTCCCTGAACCATGTCTCTGCGTTGCCTGTAGACATCTCTGTAAGTCTCCTAGCTGTGGTCGTGGGTTTCTGTGGGCTCGCCCTGTTGGTAGTCTCTCTCTTTGTGTTTTGGAAGCTGTGCTGGCCCATCTGGAGAAGTAAGGCCCTCTCCTCGCATGCTGATGGCATCCCACAGGGGATGCTCCCCGAAGCCCCCCCGGCCAACTTGCCACCACCTCCTTCGCCCCGCCCTCAGCCCCCTTTGGTCCCAGAGCCCAAGTTGGCTGGGGTGGCGCTCATGGGGCGCCAGGCCTCTCAGCCCCAGCAGGATGACCAGGAGGAGAGGAAGAGGAAGGTGCCTGAGGTAAAGGTGAATGGTCGCAGTTCAGTCAAGCTACTCGAGGCAGCCATGAAGATCAGCCAGACGTCGCCAGACATCCCAGCTGAGGTGCAGCAGACTCTGCGTGAGTGCCTCAGCAAGCAGGCCAAAATCCAGAGGCAGACCACTGAGCCCACCTCATCCTCCAGGTATCAACTTTTACTTTAACTCCTTTCAGCTCTCTGGGTCATGTTGGAGAAGATAGGTGGATGGATGAATGGATGGATGGATGGATGAATGGATGGATGATGGATGGATGGATGGATGGATGTCCAAAAGTGTCCCCATCTAAATAGTTGATTCAACCATCTGAAAGCAAATTAATTGCTGGAACAAGTGTTAAAACCCCATGGAAACAAAGTCCATGATGTCTTTCTAATTAGGTTTCTAATTGGTAAACATCAGTGTCTCTGATGCTCAATAACTTCACTAATGTTCTTGTGGCCAATGTTCTAACATCAAGCGGGAAAATAGCAACAAGAAAAAATGTGCATAAGAAATAAAATACAGAAGATATAAAAAATACAGAACTGTCAAGACACTTACAAGAGACTTAAACAACACTGTGCGTTTTACAAAGGTGTGCTTGAATGCCAGTGAATATTTACGTGGTTTGCAAAGTGATTCATTAGTTTTCATATATTTTCTGTAGTTTCTTTTTAAAAAGTAGTGTTTTTAGTATTACATAGATATTACACAATATCTTGGCATTCCAGATGAGATAATGGGCAGAATAACACCATGTTTAACTACAAGCTCTGTTTGTTGAACTAACACCCTCACAGCATTTTGAGTAACAGTTCTAGAATTAGCACAGTTCATTACATAATTTACTCCCCCTCTCCCCCCACTCACAGTTATTTTGCATGTGTCAAATTCAGTCGATTTTTTTTATCAATGAGGTTTGAACACTGTGGCAGACTTTGAGATTGTGCCAGCATAATCTCATAAGAACATTAACTTTGACATTTGCCTGCATGATCTCAAACGTCCAATCTCAGTTAATTTAATTTTCCCACTCAAACCCAAAGAAGACTGTTTGTGTTAGGCAGGACGCTGATTTCAGAATCTGCAGTTTACCTTTTCGTGCACCTTGTTAAGCAGCAGCTGTTCGCTGTATCTGTGTTTATGCGTTTCTTGGCTCACTTCCAAATTGAAAGCCAACCGCAGGATCTAAGCTGGTGCATTACCTATTTACCACAACTTTTGTGTAAAGGCATTTTTTAATGTGGGGAAAAATGTACACAGGCTTATATGACTACACGAGTTAAAGAGAACAGGGGCTCATTAAACTAGGCATGTTGTCGGTGTTAATCAGTTCAGATATTCAGGCTATCCAGTGATGTGTTTAGCATTCAATGTCATTACAAAGCAATGAAAAAAACAAGCAAAGATGAACAACAACTTTTGCTGCATGTGAGTGATGCAAATAAAAATCTAAGAGATTGTGATCATCACTGTTATAAGAAAGGTTCATATTACTGAAATGGTAAAAGATAAAAACAAACAAAAAAAACACTTAAACACACTGTTTTCAAAACAAATGGCCATAAAATACCTGCCGTTGCTGTCCAGTATCTCCAAAATGGTAACTTTACAGGAGAAAGCAAAAACTTTCCTTACTTTTAATGTAAATTAATGCAAAGAGATTTTATTCCAAACAACTTTGGAACATTTTTGTTGGTCTATTTCTGAATATTTATTAATTTTTTACACAATGTAAAGAGCAGCTGCTGTATTCAAATAATACAGAAAAATAAATAAAAAAGTGAAAAAAGGAGATACTTGTTTATTTTTGGACAGTGATGTTATAGAAATGTGTAACACACACCCTTCATTGTTTGACAGGGCTGCAGCACGCCCCCTAGCTTCCACACCAGCCCTGTAATCACTGCAGCTCCAAAACCCTAACACCCAAGTCACGCTGCCATGACAACGGCAATTAAACAATCAGTTGTTCTTCTCTTTGTTTCATTCGTGGCACCATGTTTAAAGAGAGCAGGGTTTATAATTAGTGTTGCCATGCGATGGAACTGACATGCCGGCAGCGTTTGTCCTACTGGGGACCATGATGAGCAGCTGCACTCCTCTGCTGATGGTGGCCATTATTGAGTCACCACGGAGCTGTCATTAAAAACCCGGTTGCAGCCTAACGAATAAGGCATCTTCGTAAATTACATGTTGATGGCATTCCGAGCAAGGGCAAATGAGGCATAAAGGTCAGCTATAGAGAGAGAATGTAGTCTAGGAATGTCGCCTTGCCTCACTCATTTGGATCCGTCCAGCACTATTAAAAATAGTGTTACCAAAACTGGTTATTTGGAGAGATGGTACCCTAAAGAATCAGTGGAGGGTTCTAGAGAATCATTTTTGTAAATCAGTGTGAAGAATCTTTTTAATCTATTTAAAAATGAAAGAACTTTCACATAATGGTTCTACACTGATTAAACTGTACTGAACTGTACATCCAAGTCAACAGCATTTTGGAGCCTTTATTTTTAAGGGTACTTCACATTTGATGGCTTTTTGTGTTCAGTATTTGCACATCAGAACACCTGCTGTATTTCATCAAATATTCGCCAGTGCAAGACATCACAGGTGGTTTCTCCTTTATCTTTATCCCTGGGCCACATCTACAAGCTCTGAATAGTTCTTCTCCTTTTTGCTTCTTGTTTATCAGAACGCTTTCTATGAATTCATAAACAATGAACGGTACACAGCAGCGGAGGTCGAGTCCCTGCTGTGCTAAATGCTGCCCTGTGGCCAGCGGGCTTCAAGAACACAATTATCCTCACTCTTTCTGGAATTGAATAAAGGCTGGTACCCTCTCTCTTCTGTCACCAGTCACTTGGGGTGTCTGCATGGTCACATGGCACAGCTAGTGTTAGCCTACAAGCATGCCAAGGTGCTCAACAATGCTGTGTTGCTGGTAGTCTGGGAAAAAAGACAAGCTGCCAGATGTACACAGCCTTTGTGCTCTGTGGTAGGTCTTTCCCCTATGTGCAACAGGAACGGCAGAGTACAGGGAAACTGCAACTGCATTTGAGAGAAAATGCTAACAGAGTATTTAAACTGGTGACAAATTTGTTCTCCGTGCTACAGCAAAAGCTATAATGTTTAAGATAAAGTGTTTGTTTGTTTTTTTTTGCCACAGATCTTAATATGGGCTCAAGCTGTGAGGTAATTGCTTAAAGTAGTTGCTTACAAACTGTCATTTCCTGGCCATCTGGATGTTAATGTGAACTGCTCTCAACTGCCCCCTGTTACCGCTCATGGCTTAGCCGGGTATGGCCACATTGGGCAGCTAATCGCTAGTTGATGAGAGAAAAACATGAAGGAATAAAAGGGTTAATATGATGAATTGCTCTGAGGTTTTTTATGCACTTTGCTGGGAGAAATCTAATGTTAAAATGTTAACAAATCATATTAGCACCAGTTCTTGTAGAATAGCTACAGTAACTATAATTATTCATAAACATATTTTATTATGCCTTTGTCAAAGTCCACCCACATTAGACTGGCAGACGCAATAGAAAGAAGAAAAAGGACAATAACAACATAGCACATTATTGGATTTCTTATTAAGAACAGGCAGCCATCATTGTATGGTAGGGGTATGTTTTTCTTTCTAAATGTAAGGTATTTAGATTAGTCTGTTGATCCCCTGTGGTGGTGTAAGGACATGCTGAATTATATTGCTGCAGTGTTTTGGCTGTCTGCCTGTTTATGTGTATAATTTACTAGTAGTGCAACTCTGTAATCCATACAAGGTCATTATTATTAGAACCATTTGCTGAATGTATTTACATAGAAAGTTGCCAGTTTGTTCAATGACCTTAGGGGACATGTCTTTAATATTATATTTCACATTATCAGTCACTTTGACATAGTCTGAGCTCACAGCTGTTTCTTTTGAGAAAACTAGTGAAGCTTCCACCCTGCTGACATCACTAGGCCTACCAACAGTTATCTGCCAATAGACTTCAAACAGTCCAGTTGAAGTTTCTGTGAACTGTTTTCTTCAAGGACAGCATCAATGAATGTCTGAAAAGTAATTGCAAAACCAGCTATTAATTTAATTACTTTAATAATCTGTCATCAAACCTTTTAAAAACATACTTAAAACATTAAAGTACTGCTTGTAAAAGGGACTTTTGTGATATTCTGAAAGATACAGGCCATAGTCTTTCAGTGATAATGAAATATATGATATGTCTGATGTGGATGAGCTTCAGTCTGTGACGACACCTGGTAACTACTGAATAAACTACCGACAATGTAGTTCTTTGTGTTAATTTGTGATAAAACATTTAGACATGACCCAAAGCAAAGCATCCTTAGATGCATCTCAGAACTTTTTTTAGAATTTTTTAAAGTGCAGTAGCATTTGACCACAATTTCTTTTTACACAATAAGTTTTATACATTTATTGCGGTGGCTTTTTATTATTTGCAGTCTCGGGAATAGGTGCCAGTTGCTAGGAGACACCAAGTAGAAGTAAAAAGCTATGGTTTGCTTGAAGAATGGAAGTCATTATGCTTGTGAGGAAATGGGATGAAGATCCACTTAGAACGACCAGAGTGAGGTAGAGAGCCTAGTGAGCCAGGTTCTCTCCTTGATCGTTTAACAGCAAATGCTCAGCTTCTCTCCATTTCTGTCAAGTTTTAGTGGTTCTCTGTTTGCAGGCCAGTTGAAGATAAGTCTAAAAGAAGCACCTGAGGTTTCTTGAAAGTATTCTATTATGGAGTTCTTGTTCAGATTTTGATAATGGAGACCTCCTAGGCAAATCTCAACAAATGATTGCAATCTTAAAGTACTTTACTGTGAGAGGTTCTCACTCTTCTGCGATCTTTCTTGCTAGGCATAATTCATTCCGTCGGCATCTTCCAAGGCAGATGAATGTGTCCAGCGTGGACTTCAGCATGGACACTCTGCCTGTGCGGCAGTCCTCGGCGGTCAGCATCGGACGCATCAAGCCTGAGCTCTACAAACAGAAATCCGTAGACTCGGAGGAAGGGAACAAGGAGCCGGTGGAGACCTGTGGCAAGCTGAGCTTCGCCCTGAGCTACGACTATGAGGAACAGGCTTTGGTGGTGCGCATTCTTAAAGCCCTGGACCTGCCAGCCAAGGACTTCACGGGCACCTCTGACCCCTATGTGAAGATCTATTTGCTCCCAGAGCGTAAAAAGAAGTTCCAGACACGGGTCCATCGTAAGACACTCAACCCCACGTTCGATGAGGTGTTCCGGTTTCCGGTGGAGTATGAGCAGCTGTGTAACCGCAAGCTGCACTTCAGCGTCTACGACTTTGACCGCTTCACAAGCCATGACATGATCGGTGAGGTGGTGGTGGACAACCTGTTTGAGCTTTCCGACCTGTCACGTGAGGCTGTGGTCTGGAAGGACATTCTTGCATCAACTACAGTAAGTATACTGTTAACCTGCCAAATGAACAGTAGTTCCTGTTAGGTTGGCTGTATAAAGACAGCTAGCATAAGCCTTTCACTTCAATCTCATTTTAGCTTCTTTTTGTTTGCTCACTCATCTTTTACAGTCCAACATGAGCACAATTACAAATCTGTGACACCTATAAACCTTAAAAAGTGCCCTCAAATCACTATATGCCCTTGCAAGTGTACAGAAAGGAATAGCACCATCTAATACGTTATGATTACAGATGGTTCAGGTATTCTGAAGCTGTTGTGTCTTAAAAGCTGCAGCCCACAAGCACCAACAACACAGAGCTATAATGAAGCATTGCAGGCTTCATTAACAAGCAGATTGATTTGTTGTACAAAGCCAGGTGTGAGGGAGGATTCAGTTCAGAACTGATTCACCCTTCCGGACACCCACGCAACCCTTCCAAAAACAGATAAAATTAGCTCCCTCCAAAACCACAGACAATTTGAGCCTCCAAGGAGAGTTAGACCTTCCAAGCCATGAGACATGACTAATGCCACAGGTGTGGGATTGACTATGTCCTACTGTCACCATGCCATCAGCACTTTAGACATGATTCCATAAAAAGAAGGCAAGCATGCCCGATTCCCTCCCATGTCATCTTTTGGATGGGTTCCTTTGTCTGCTTTGCCCCTGTAATATTCCGGCCCACTCAAAATTACGCCTCAGCAAATATCTCAGTTTATGTAACAACTTCAGTCATGCTGTGTCAGAGGTTTTTTTTGTGTATTTCTTGTACAAAGCTGTTCTCTTTTCACGCTCAGCTGATTCTGATGAGAGAGCGCTTATAAGCTAAGACGAAGCGTCCTTATCTTAAGCCATGCAGGATGCAGAAATTACAATTTCCTCTGTATTTATAAGCTTGTGTGAGTTCTCACATAAATAAAATCACATTGTACAGCCCCCATACAAAAGAAGAACAGACATGCTTGAGACAAGGCCCAAGAAACTGCGTTCACTGTGTTAGTTATTTGCTTGAACATTATTTTGAATCCAAATTGTTCTTCAGAAGCATTTTTGATGTCTATGCTAATGATTCTCTGCACATAATTAGCTACCTAAAAATAAATTGCACCATTTTTTACATGTTGATCAACACAATATTTTACTATTTTTCTGTCTAAATATAAAGAACCCATATAATTGAAATGTCTGGCAAAGTCATGCCAATGTGCCCACATGGGCTGCGTCTGCATGCCACACCAGTAACTAACTAATGTTATAAAGCAATTGGAAAAACCTTTGAGTATTTTTTTACAATGATGTCACAGTAGAGTCAAATTTCTTGGTGCATTTTATCCACTGCATAAAGTACCCAAACTTTTGGAACAGTGCCATTGGTCCAGCACCAAAAGTTGTGTTTGCTAAACTGACAAAAGCAAGTAAGAAGGATAACACTATTAGCATTTCTGTTAGCCTCCTTACAACAAGAGTCTTTTCTCATATTTTCATGCTCATTAGACAAAAATGCAAGCTTTGTATTAGTGTGTGCACACAAAACAGTGCAGTATATCATTTCATGTCAGCCAAAAAGTTAAGCTAACTATAATTATTCCCTATAAAGGGAAATAATTAGCCAAATTAGATGATTAGAATGCCATTAAATGACCAAAAAGTCAATCAAGTCCTTAGTAGTCATTATTATATCTCAAGCAGGTGAAAAATAAACTTGAACCACAACCCTGTTTCCAAAAAAGTTGGGATGCTGTGCAAAATGTAAATAAAAACTGAATGCAATGATGTGCAAATCATTTAAACCCTATATTTAATTGAAAATAGTGCAAAGGTAACATATCCAATGTTGAAACTGAGAAATTTTCATAGTTATTGTCAGTAACATAATTAAAAAGTGTCCCAGAGAGGCTGAGTCTCTCAGAAGTAAAGATGCGGAGGTGTTCACCGCTCTTCGAAAGACTGTGTTGGCAAATAACGCAACTATTCAAGAATTAAGCTCCTCAAGGTAAAATAGTAAAGACATGATTCTGTATTGGAAATGGGCTCAGGAACACTTCTGAAAACGCTTGCTTGTGAACACAGTTCATTGCTGCATCCACAAAGAGGAAACCATATAAACAAGATACGCAAACACCGCCAGGTTCTTTGGGCCCAGGCTCATTTAAGATGAACTCTGGTAAAGTGGAAAAGTGTCCTTTTTTGGAAACCATGGACACTGCATCCAATCAACTTGTTATCAGTGCACAGTTCAAAAGCCAGCATCCATGATGATATGGGGGTGCATTAGTGCACATGACAGGGGTGACTTGCACATCTGCAAAGGGACCATTAATGCCGAACAATATTTATATGCTGCCAACCAGATGATGTCTTTTTCAGGGAAGGCCTTGCTTGTTTCAGCAAGACAATGCCAAACCACATTCTGCATGTATTACAATAGAAAGGTTCAGTAGTAATAGAGTCTGAGTGCTAAACTGGCCTGCCTGCAGTCTATTTTATTAATTATTTCATTATGAAAGAAAAAATATGACAAATGAGCCCCTGAACTGTTGAGCAGCTAAAATCCTATATCAAGCAAGGCAAGTATGTGGCTCAATGGACCAAGTACAGCTGTATCACGCATTTTATGGAGTAAATAACAGTAAATTCAGTAAGTATCACGTAGAGCAGTAAGCATGTCAGAAACAATTTGCATGGTCCCAAAATGCTTTGGCGTAGGTGTAAAGCACATTTAATGTTGTTTTTCCAGTGGAATTTACCATAAAATACCCTTGAAGTTTAACTCAAATTAAAATACAGAGAATAAATGCTATTAAAATGAATTCATAACATATGATACATACTGGGTCATGAGCTTGGTCAAACGGTCAGTGACTCATGTACGTTTTCCAGCCACCCCCCCTGCTGTGAATACCATGGTCAAGTGTGTAGAGGGAGTGCTGACTGGATAACTGCTGAGAACTCCTGTTGTGTCTCTATGTGGTGACTCACATGTACTGGGGAGCCCTAATCTCTGCCGTCTACAAAGTTGGGCACATCAGCCTCTTTGGGGCTCATAAACACCATGATTGCTGTTGTGTCGGTGCATTTCATCTTCTTATTGTTGTTTAGATGCCTCGCAGCACTTCTGTCTGCATATAATTTGGCTGACAGGGAGTGTATTATTGTCCCTGTCATGTTGATGTTTTGATGTGTTATTATGTCACTGTCAGCTCTCGTCATTCTCTCAGTTTCTCTCTCTGTCTCTGTCTCTCGTTCTCTTTCCTTATTGTAGCGTTTCCAAGCTTTAGTCATGTTCAGCCAGTTCCCTGCTGTAGCCTACAAGATTTAATTAATCATCTGTTTATTAAATCTGTTTATTGTGGCCAGAAAAGCACAATACTGTGTCATTGTTGCAGAACTTCAAGTTTGAGCACTCTGTCAGACTGAAACCTGAATCAGATCAAGTGTATTTGCATGGTTACTTTAGACTTTATATTTTACGTAAAAATAGAAAAATAAAATTGTGGCATGTGCAAAAGTTTGGACACACTGCTAAGACAACCTTTTTTTGGCTTCAGTTTCCTGACTGACTATGTCACATTTGCTTTTAGAATTTACTGGTATTTAGTGGAATCCATTCTCCCCTTTCCCCATGCAATGTTTCCTGCGCCACTGGCAAAAGCATAATAGCTCCACCCCCATACTTAACCCCCTGGGGTCTGAGGACATTTTCTTGATTTTTGCATATATTATTACATTTGCCTTTAAGGGCACTTGCATATCACATGATACATATTATATATAAAAATGTTCAAAACAATTTTAACTCTCTCTATGATGAGGCACTTTTGACCTGTAAGACATAATTCAGCCCTAAAGCTGAAAAAATGAAATCTGGTTCATTTCTATCTCTTGTGAAAACATAGCTTTACTCATGTGGATGAATTGTCGTGGTGCTTAAAATGGGTTTATTAGAGTCTTAGGTTCACCAAAGTAGTGGAATGTATGAATAAAATAGTAGATAAATATATATATACATATATAGTCAGACACCTGAATTACAGATGACGCACAAATCCACCAGTTACACACAGTGAGAAGCAGCTGGCTTGTGTCTGAATTTGTCTTCATTGAGTCATGTACCATTTTGCAATTAGACAAATTGTAAAGGACAGACTCAGGAGCTGTTTGAATCGTATTTCCGCACTGTATTTTCGCAAAGATATTAATACAAACACCAAGTAACATCTAATTTGATGTTCCGGCACATTTGTCAACCCCAGAGGGTTAACAGTTGACAAGGTGTTCTTTTCATCAAATGCTGTTCCTTTTCCTCCAAACATACCATACGATTGTGGCCAAAGAGGTTTTTTTTACTTTCTCAGTCCACACAACAGTCACACTAGATAATGCATCTTGATGTTGTTTTGCATACCTCAGACACTGATTTTTGTGGTGAGGTCACAGGTAAGTTTTCCTTCTGATGACTCTTCCATGTAGATCATGTTTGTGCATTTAAAATTACACAGAACAACAGTGGACTACCACTCCTGTGTCAGCTAAACATTTCTGCAGGTCCATTGTTGTCATATGGTTTGCTTTGCCTTTCTGTCCAGCATATGAACAATTGTGAGAGTTTTCTTAGTCTTACAGATTCTTGTTCTTTCAGATCTTGCATTAACTTAAGAATTGTCACCTGTTTGTCTTCAGCTGAAAATTCCTAATGACAGTTATTCACCTGCCTAGCCAGCCCTAATGAGTCAATTAAGGCCAAAGTAGTTGAAAGTCAAAGTCCTGAGACTTTACAACTAGAAGGGTGTCCAAACTATTGCACATGCCATACTGTGCATTAACATTTGCAGAAAATGTTATTTTTTTCAAAATAGTTTGCTGTACAGGTTGTGTTTGCATCATTTCACTTTAAAAAGCAACAAAATGTGTAATTTTGCCAAAGGTGCTCACTGTATGGTTGTGTGCGGTTGTGTGTCTCATTTTAGGGAAAGATAAATAACATCCTCTACATTTTTAAAACTTTTTTGTCCTTTCTTTGGAGGTTCAGACCCTAAGTTGTTGAGACAGAATATACTAATGGATTAATTATTATGTATGTAAACATGTAATTACATTTAAATAAAATCACAAACTCTCTACTTCTATAGTTTAGCTGTATAAACACATGAATCACATTGTTAATGAAAGATTATCTTTATTACACTCTCAGAGAGAACCCAGTAGGATGAAAAGACGTGGGAGTTCTGCACCTGTGAGATGCAGGAAAGCATTACTTCATCTCTGAAGCTCCAGGGATGAAACTGATGCTCCGAACCAGCTGCTCCTTGAGCTCTGACTGTGTAGACAGTCTGGTTACTCAGATAGCCCAGAATAGTCTGTGCCATTGATTGCAGCCTTGCCCTGTCACACTTCCGCCACACATTCAAACCCTTTATTTCATCCCTGGTTGACGCTTGTGGGCCTAATTTTATCACCACGTGTTGCAGCGCATGGCCGTTGTGGCAGAGTGCCAGACGGCACTGTGAAGGCGTGGAAGTCAGAGGGGCAGAAACAGGAAGGGTGTTATTGCCCCCAAAAAGCTGTGGGTTGTCTCGGTTAGTCATGAACACAGTGATGTGACGTGGCCCCTTAGCCTGCCTGCAGGTTTGTGCGTTCACAGAGGGTGACAGGATTAGTCAAGAGGGGAGATGGAGTGTGACAGAGGGAGTTCCTTAAAGCCCTAAACAAGAATCCTTGTGTACAACAACAACAACAAAAGTCTGAAAAGAATTGCTACACGAGGCGACATTTACTAAAATATAACATTATATTGTCACTGTTTATTTTAAACAGGCTGCTGCTTTCAGTGCTCTTATGTTTTCATGTTTGTCTCCATGTACTTATTACATCTGGTTATTTCATTGGATGATTGTCTGTTGTGGTTGCTACCATGTTATCTTGAGTGCACTAAAACAAATTTCCAGTAACTCTGGTGATTGATGTGGCAAAAAAATCTTGAAGTCTTTTGGAACAAAACCTAATTTCCCCAGAATTTTCAGGGGAACTCAGTATAAAAGTTTTTTGCAAAGTAATTTTAGACCATTTCTGCTGCGCCGGTCATCATGAAATTTTCACATGATGTGAAGAGAAGCTGATGTGTACAAATTATGTGGAAAAACAAAAAACAACCAAAAATGCAGTTACAAGTTTTTGTCCTGACAGCGACATTGCGCTAATGATAAATGTAGCAATAACCTTGGACCAAGTCATAATTGCAATATTATTACTGTGAAGCTAACCTTCCGAAATTGAATATTACCCCCTTAACAATCCAGGTTTATGTCATACTAAGGCTTATTATTCAGTAACTACAGGTACTTCAGTGCAAACTAATAGAGCTATTCTTAAGTTATAGAAGTGTGTAATAAAACTTTGGGGCCGCCAGTGGGCCCATGACTTGTTAAGGGATTAATACTATTATTTTGCTATTTTACTGAAAAATTCTAATGTAAATTTAATTACACAATGAGGTCCATTTGGGTTGGGGGTAGGGCAGCTATAACATGTAAGCAATCACACTGAAGAACTAACTCACATTTGGGGGTGGGATATGGATATATATTTTTATATTTGCATATTCTTCTGTGTTATTATACATGGTGCTGGTGAATTCTGCAGTTTGAAGCAAAATAGAGTCATCATTAAAAAAAGCACAGGGTGAAAATGCCTATGGCATCAGACATCACTATATCAGACAAAAAGACATCCACAAATGTATCTCTGAATACCAAACCTTCTGCTCAGCGTAATAGCCAAGGTATACATCAAGACCCCACCACTCTCATAGGCAGTCATTATAGAAGTCTTCTTGGAAAGCCAGTTGTTATGGAAATCTTATGGGAAGGAGCTGGCTTTCTGAGAAAAGAGAGATCTATATTTATACAGGAACATAGAGTCCTTTTCTCATGTTTTCCTCAAGTAAAAACAAATCCTTACTATCTAGATTTAATATAGGGTCTTTGTTTGTTTAACCAGGATGAGCAAACATTAGTCCAATATCAAGGGTATTGTCCTTGAAGAGACAAATAAAAGATTATTTGGAAGGTGATTAATGTGTTTGCAGTGGTATTTGAGTTCTCAGCACAGGTAAAAAAAAAAAAAAGATTTTTATTTGAGAACTTGCTGTATGGATGTTGTTAGCAAATATTTATCACAGTTATGTGAGAACATAATTATCAATTATATCATCCATAATTGAGCATCACCATTACAATTACACAAGAACATCCTCTGCAATGATAGCTTTCATCCTACTAATCTGCCTTAGACTCCTAATGTGATCTTCAGTGAGGTTTATGATGTTTATGATGTTTGTAAAGAATTCTATCATTTTCACCTTATTGTAGGAAAGTGTGGATTTAGGGGAAATCATGTACTCCCTCTGCTACCTTCCCACGGCTGGCCGCATGACCCTGACCGTCATCAAGTGCCGAAACCTGAAAGCCATGGACATCACGGGTTCCTCAGGTTAGTGAATGGTGGCGTGGTATGGCATTGCCACGTGGGAGGGCATTGTCATTATTCATCATCCAGTCCCATATTATACCACCTCTTACATAGCACCTCTGCTGGTCATACGCAACCTAGGTGAAGAAATAAGTTTCCCTCATATCATAACCATAATTGTTTACATAACCTTTATTTCTACAAGTTCCTCCACTGTACTCATGGTCACACAAGATACTGTGAGTTACAAGACAAAAATACACGGCAAAACAGCTGCATATCATTGGCATTAAGAACAACAATATAGAGATAATCAGCATAAGACCAATTAAACCCCGATAGACCAGCCTGTTCAAAAACACAATCAGTGCAGCATTCAACAAATGTAATTCAACTAAACACAAACCACTGTGTTACATCACCTTTCTTTTTAACAGCACTTAATAATCATTTGAGGACTGAATACACAAACTGATCCAGTTTTGAAAGCATAATTTTTTGCCATTCTTCTGTATTTGTACTATACAAGTCTTCAGCTTTGCAAACATATGCGTCCCTTATTGTTATATTTTGCACACAATTTCAATGAAAGACAGGTCTGGACTGCAGGCAGGCCAGTCTAGCACCTGCACTCTTTGATTATGCAGACATACTGTTGTAACACATGCAGAATATGGCTTGGCAGTGTCATGTTGCAATAAGCATCTAACAGGCATGTGTTCAGCGTTAATGGTGCCTTCACAGATGTGCAAGTTATCCACTAAACCCTCCCCATACCATGACCATGATTTTGACCTTCACGCTGGGAACAATCTGAACAATCTGCTTCTTCTTTGTCCTGGAGAACATGACATCCATTATTTCCATAAACAATCTGAAAGTTGACTCCTTAGACCACAAAACACTGTGCACTGTGCATCAGTTGATTTCAGATGAGCTTGAGTTCAGAGAAGGCTGTAGTGTTTCTGGATGTTGTTGACATATTACTTCCACTGTTCTTAGTGCAGTCTTAACTTGCATTTCTAGATGCAGGTTTTTCAAAATATTCCCGAACCCATGTGGTGAAATCCATCATAACAGCAAGCCGTTTTTCAGTGCACTGCTGTTAGAGGGATAAAAGGTCCTGGGCATTCAGTTGTGGTTTTCAGCCTTGCCCTTTACGCACAGATATTTCTGTGGATTCTCTAAATCTGTTGACGAAATTAAGAACTTTAAAGGGTAAAAATACCTAAAATCCTTGCAGTCGTTTGCTGAGAAAAATGAATTTTAAACTGCTAGATTTTTTGCTGATGCATTTTTGGCAAAGTGGTGAGTCTCAAAAAGTGAAGTTTTTGTACTGTTTTCATTTAAATAAAGGTAAAACTAGGTTTATAAATCACTGCTTTCTGTTTTTATTTGCATTTCACATACTGTCACAACTTTTTTGGAATTGGGGTTGTACGTGAAGTCTCTAAAAACAAGTAATCTTTTGCCACAGAGCTGGAACATCATAATAACCAAGGTAACAAAAATATGTACAGCAGTAATAAAGAAGACTGATAACGTGAAAATACAAACCCAATTCCAAAAAAAAGTTAGGACAGGAGAGACAGAATGCAAATAAAAACAGAAAGCAGTGATTGAAAAATCTGCTTTGACCTGTACTTGAACACACGCAGTACAGACAAGATATATAGTAATATTTTATCTTTTCAGCTTCATAGTTTGTTAATATACTCTTATTTTAAGGCTTATAACACATTCTAAAAAATGATGAGGCAGGGCAAATTCAAGACTAAGACCATTGTGTAAAATTCAAAAAACATCTTGAAAATGTGATGCAATTATGCTCAGATTTTAAAGGAGCATCCAGAAAAGGTCTAGTCCTTTATGAGCAAGGAGGGTTAAGGCTCATCACTTGCATCAGCAAAAAATACAACATTTTAAAACTAACATTCTTCAGTCAGAGATTGCAAGAATTTTCGGTAATTCACCAGAAATCTCTGTGCACAAAGGATGAGGGTGAAAACCACGGTTGAATGCCCATGACCTTCGACCCCTCAGATGGCACTGCATTACAAATTAGTATGCTTTTGTGATGGATATAACCACATGGGCACAAGAATACTTTGAAAAACTCTTGTTAATTAAGTCTATCCGTCGCTGTATCCACAAATGCAAGTTAAGACTATACAATGCACAACGGAAACCACATATCAACATTGTCCAGAAACCCTGCCGACGTCTCTGGGCTTAAGCACTGCTGAAATGGACTGATAAACAGTGAAAATATGTATTATGCTCTTATAAGTCAACTTTTCAGCTTTTTATGGAAATAATCGATGTTGTGTCCTGTGGGACAAAGAAGAAAGGGACCACTCAGTTTTTTCCTAGTCTAAAGTTTAAAAGCCAGGGTTTGTTAAGATATGGGGGTGCATTAGTGGGTAGCCTGCACATATATGAAAGCAGCATTTATGCTGAACACTTTTTGGAGCAACATATGCTGCCTTTTTAGACAACGTTCTGCATGTGTCAACAGTGTGGCTGCGTAATCAGAGAGTGCAAGTGCTAGACTGGCCTGCCTACAGTCAAGATCTGCCTCCCATAGAAAACTTGTCATATGAAGCTTAAAATACAACAACAAAGGTCCTGCACAGTGGCATAGTGGAAGATTGGTATAACAGGGGAATGGCAAAATCTGAATCAGTTTGAATCTTCAGTCCCCAAATGGTTAAAAAGTGCTGTTAAAAGGAAAGATGATGTAACAAAGTGGTAAACATGCTAATGTCCCAACTTTTTTGGAGCATGTTGCAGGCATCAAATAAAATGAGTGTATATTTACAAAAAAACAACGAAGCTCATAAGGTAAATATGAGACGAAAGGCCTCTGTTAGTGAATGCCTTCATAATCAGATGGATGACAAAAGAATTTTCATTTAGGCCTTAATTAAGTTGAATGAAGTTTCAATCTGGACCAGAGCCATGCTGAGTGTTTGCTTCCGCAGATCCATATGTTAAAGTCTCCCTGATTTGTGATGGTCGGAGGCTCAAGAAACGAAAGACCACCACTAAGAAGAACACACTCAACCCCGTATACAATGAGGCCATTATCTTTGACATCCCACCCGAGAACGTGGAGCAGGTCAGCCTGTCAATCATGGTGATGGATTATGACAGGTGAGTGGTGTCTGCTCAAGAGCTGGGGGCATCCTTGCCTACAATCCTAATATGAAACATGGTTTAGGGGGTAATGGGATGAAAAGCATGGCTATAACAAACTGAAGGGGCAGAAGAAGTAGAGAAGCATGTGAAGTATGGGAAATTACTAGTGGGTTAAATTACAGCATATCGCTGCTGTCACATCTTTTTTCCTTTAGCTTTTCACATCATTTGAAATTACTGCTCTTTATATCAAGTGAACATTTCATGATGAATGGGACAATATAAATGGTCCAAAATTGCTCAGAATAAAATCTCATTACTGCTTCAAGGTTTTTTTGTTTAACTTTCTCTTATTAAATTATCATTTCAGATTTAAGGTTTTGACAGATGCAATATGATGGTCTGATGTGTAAAATTATTAGGCCAACTTTACATGTTTGTGAACTGGAAAGAGCTTAATGAAGCAGACACGTGTGATTTAGTGTTAGTTACTTGACAAGTATTGCAAAGCTGCAACAGCAGAATTAAACACAGTGTATAAAAATATGGCATCAAACCTCCATTCTTTAATCAGAGATCACTGTCATATGTAACGAGGGAATTCAAACATGAATGTGCCTGTTTGTCTGAATGGAAACAAAGAAACACAGACAACTTAGGACAAAGAGAGCTATACTTGCATATGCATTTATATGCATTTCTGAACTGGTTTCCTTTGTCCGAAGTTGTCTGTATTTCTTTGTTTCCATTCATATGGAATATATATATATGTGTAAGAGAGCTAATGAGTCCAGAAACAAGCTACAGCTGTGTGTAGGTGGAGCCTGGGTGGAGCTGGAGCCAGTATGACCTAATCCATAAGTGTCCGTCTGACACTGAATTGACACCTTCTCATTGTCTGATGTTTCTATATTTGAATGTATTTTTTTACATGCATCCTTTGTTACTTAAGATTAATTTATCAAACCAGTGTACTTTATTTCTGTTTTTCTCCCCAGAGTTGGGCACAATGAGGTGATTGGTGTGTGTCGGACAGGCCCTGATGCTGAGGGCCTGGGTCGAGACCATTGGAATGAGATGTTAGCTTACCCACGCAAGCCAATCACACACTGGCATGCCCTTTGTGAGGTAGGGGAGATAAACTAGTACTTTGCGAACGTGTAGTATCTTTCACTCTTAAAAACAAAGGTGCCAAAGTGTTCTTTGTAGCCACTGAATAACCGCAGCAAAAAATTGCTCTTTGAGGAAATTCTCTAGTGTTTTTCAATTTCATCTCTGTCCACTGCATGTGTAGCTTATGCAGCAATGGCAGTAACATCCATTGATAGTCAACAAAAGTGGTTCTTCTTAGTCATCATTTCAAATAATCCTATTGGCACCTTTATTTTTGAGAATGTTCATCAACTTTTAATGCAATATGGTGCTGAAGTACAGAAAAATTGTATCTATGTGATTAAAGCTACATGATTTGTATTTTGTAGCTCTTTCTGGTTTCAGAACTGGTTAAATGAGCAGAGGTCGTACCATTATAATGAATGTTACAACTTGCTATTGACCAGTGCAATTTTAGTGCTGTGAGGAGGTGTCTTTTGGGGAGAGGGGCATGTTGCTAACCAGCTATGTTTCCTCTGACTGTTATTCCAGCAAATGTTTAAACTTGATTTGCTGGTGCTGCAGTTTGCTGAACACAATTCTTACAAAAAACAAAGTCTATCTAGGCCACAAACAACCCAGCAATTCATTTAAATCTTTTTTGATACCAAAAGGTCTTTTTCAATGCATCAAGATTAGATTAAAAGCATTTTCAGTGGTGAATCACAAACAGGCCCATGCACAGACATTTGGGGGGGACAAGGGCTGAATGGGGAAAAGGGCAACCTGAACATGACTTAAAAGTAATTTAATTTACAGCATGTTGCAGACACTGTTATCAAAAGAGACAATCTAATCATGTTTTGGAGGAAACCAAATGTAGTGGTAAGAGTTTACCAAAGGAGGCAAAAATACTTCATAGCCTAAACAGAAATTTGAGTCCGAATTTCCAACATGTAAGGCTGCACATTTCCTACTTCTATGAATTCTATGAATCACTGAGTTATAACTGTATTTAAGAATTCAGCAGACAAGAACTTGGTTTAGCAAGTTGATATCACCCCTTTCTGCCGTTGTTATTCGAAAAGAACCACATTATGGAATGTGACACTGAAGTTCGGTGCTTTATTGTTGGAATTTCCAGTGCTGTTATCTCCACAGGCAAAACTGAGCTTGAGGAATGGCCACATAACACACAATTAGTATACCCGTCAACCAGAAGGGTACTTGTACAGTCTGATGTCAAATGAACAGGGGCTCAAGCACCCTTGGGGTCTATCTCTGCATGTGCCTGACCACCGCTGACAAATGCAAATGAGAATTCTATCAGCCTCTTGGCTTTGTTACTATATCCCACAGGTTCTTGGAGCATCTCTTCTCTTGCACATTTTAGAGTTCCTGCTCTGATGTATCCACTTCAGCTCATGAAGGGCTTGTTAACCTCTCAGGTCGATGATGTATGTGACATCAGATGCTGTGCATTAAAGCAATAAGCAACAAGAGGCTGTGCGTTCCTGCGATTGTATCACGGGAAGGGTGTTCTTAACTCCCTTGCCTGTGATAAAATCACAGTAACCCATGGGCTTAAGTGGCTTATTGCTTTTATAAAATGGCGGCCAACATGAAATATAATAAAACTACACAATTTTCCAAAAAATAATTAATTATTAATAATAATTTCCGCCAAGAAATGTAGTTCCTTTAGAGTATGGTACTGTTGCCAAGCAACAATGGACTGCTGCATGCGGAGAACGTTCGGTCGCCCATTGCCATATATTGCGGTCATTACATTTCATACTTTTTGTCATATAAAAATGAACATATGATAACACAGCAATGTTTAATGCAAAAAACTTTCACTGTATAAGTACTTTTTGTTCACTAAATTGCCACCGCGAGTCTCATTTAGCACCAAACCGGCAGCACCCTCTTTTCTTGCTGGGGCTGAATCTGGAACGGCTCCCTGCTCCCTACATAGTGCACTACATAGGAATTTAAATACTGGATCCTGCACCCCAATGATGCAAAATATAGCTAAGAAATAGTCATTTGGGACTCAGCCACATCTGTACTCGACAATCGATGCACTATTTGGCCATAGAGGCTAGAATTAGAGTTTGGGATTCAGCCTGGGTTTGATGCGACTTCTGACTGAAACATGAACATTTAAAGTGTGTAATCCAATCAAGTGATATTTTTTTGGACTTTTATACTGATGTTTCACAGTGAATCATACCATATGTACTTTAATTCAAGTCTGTGATATTAATGATGGTGTTGTTTAGGCTGTTGTCTATCTTTTAGCCTGTTAGCTATCTGTCCAGCCTAGTGCTAGTTAAGAACTTAAGTTGCCAGCCCCACAGTGTAAACAAAAATGGGCTCTTGCTTTATCAATATACTCGCTGGTCCATGTGAGCAGCATAAGAGTCAAAGATGATTCCATTAACAATATAAGGGTTTTTGGGTCGTAGCGCAGTAATACAAAGTTCTGTTGTTGTGAGGCAGTCATAGTGTGTGTATATTGTAGATTTTACGACAGCTGCAAATGCGGCTCAGCCAATCAGATTTTAGGACCAGAACTATCCATTTTATAAAAAGAATGAATTGTGTTTAATCTGTGATTATTTATCCATTTATCTGTGTTAAAAAGAGCTATTGTTGTTATCAGGACTGTTAGCCATCCACTGACGTCTTGGGCCGAGTCTGTCGACCTATGAGCAGCACTACTCTTCTGGGAAAAATGAAAATATGTCTCTAGCGTGCAGCGTTCACAAAATATTTATTCTTTTATCTATGTTGTCCTTTGATGTCATATATGACATTGCCTACCTGAGAAGGTTAATTAGCTAATAAGGTGGGCAACAGGACAAGGATGCTCCACAACCAAAGTTGAAAACTGCTTTATGTGAGCTGTTTTCTTCACTTTCTCTCTACAGTGGCCAGGAAGAGCATCCAGTTTTGAAAGCCAGGGCTCCTGCCCCTCCCCCAAGCCCCCCCAGACTCCATAACCATAGCAGATGAGACCCTGAATCACACAAGTCGCCTCACACTCTTTAGCGCACATGTGCTTGGTTTGTGCCATGAGCTTTCTGTTTTTCTCTTGTTGTGGCTTGTAACACTGCATCATTATGCCAGAGGATGACTTGTGCAGGTGTCCTCTGCTATATACTCCTGATGCTACTGCATTACCTCTAGGACTATTTCTGAAGATGTATGGGCTGTTAGAAAAGACGGACAAGGCCCACAGCAGGCGTATGAGATGGTGATATGATTGGATGGGGAGACTGGCAGTAAAATGATACCATGTCAGTTGGGTGACATATCAAATAACAGCACTTTCCATGTTGTCTTTTCTAAAATCTTTACTTGATGACAGTATTTGATAAATGTAGACGCATTAAATGACAAAAAATAATAGAAGTGGCATGAATATCTAAAATCTAAACTTACTGTGTTTGTGATTTAAAGGGTAAAACAAATATGTTGAACACTGAATACACCTGTCCAATGTATGATTCTAAAAAAATATAGTGAAAATGAGACATATATACATATATGCAACCATGATTACTATGATTTTATGAGAATATATACATAATTGACTATTCTTCTGAGCATTGTTTATCTAAACAGAAAAGTTTTCTTTTCTTTCTGGTTTTGATCACATTCATAGCTTTCCATTTAATGATCATAGTTTGTGCAATCATACAAAGCTGGTCAGGGAAGAAAAAAAAGGATTAGTATTAGAAACATCTTGAAACATTGTCTAGGAAAAATAATTAAGATCAGGGCATAGGCCACCATTTCAGTGCTTTGGGGTACATTTGGACAAAATATACATCAGTGTTGATGATTTTTATGGTGCAAAAAAAAAATCTAATTTGACATGTACATATAGATGTCTTCATTACAGTGAATTTCAAACATATGTAACATATCTTAATTAAAAAATTCTGATTTTGGGAAAGAAAACAATCCTTTGTTGGTCCCAAAGTGCAGGTCAACCTCAGCCTTACAAACAGCAGTCCAGGGTCATGTGTAAGTCACAAAACTGGTGCTTGTGTTTATTCTTCATAGTTTAAAAATTGCCTTGCTATCCTACTAAATTGAAAACGTCTAAAAAGAACACAAAAGGTTGGAACAGTTGTGATGATGTGTAAACCTCAAATCGACTTTTTCTTAGGCACTTTCTTAACAGTGCAGCTTTCAAACATTTTGCTTTTTTGTCAACTTTTCACTGGAACTGATGAAAAAAGGACTAGCCACAGTAGCCAGATGATGTAGCTTTTTGTTTTTCACAAAGCAGGAGTTTATGCCCCAGCAGAACTAACAGAGAGATTGTGAAATGTTATTGCCTAAAATTTTCACAATAATAAGATTTTTTCTCAACATTTCCAGAACTTACACTATCCCTGCAATTAAATTAGCCATTTGTAACTCTGTTCCTATGCATTCAAATATGAAATGACTGAGATCTTGGTTTCAGTTACATTAACAACAGTGCGCAACTATAAAAATCCATCTATCTGCACTATTAGAAATAAAGGTACTGTGCAGGCACATTTTTCGTTTATCAAGGTACAAACAATGTAAATGTACCTTCAAAGGTACTGTAATGGGTTTAAGGTCCAATTGTGCACCTTAAATAAGTTTTTCCCAGAGAAAAAGTATGTGTGTTATTTGTATGAATCTATCTATCTATCTCATTTTTGTTAAGCCATAAAATATTGAAAGTTAACGAAAACACAGTGTATGAACTCCCAGGGAATTATTTGATGACATAAAGAAAAAAGTAGGTCAGAAGAAATTAGGACATGTGGTCTTATTTAATTAAAATCCTGTGAACATCACTGTACACACAGATCATTTAGATACATTGAATGTATGACTCAGATTGTGTGAAATGGAATGAGTCTTGCTATATGGATCCTTTTACATATTTCAAGTGAACATTAGTTGCTTTTGACATATTTAGAATGAATATTTTACTCATTTGTTTATTTTTTGTAATCCATTAAAAACCTAATGTATGAACCAAATATAGAGCATCTAAAAACTAGGTTGTTTTCCCAGCGAGTTGCAGAATAACAGCCAAAGCAGCAATTAAAATAGGGCATGTTGCAATTATGCAAATTAGTCTCGGTACATTTAATTCAGATCCAACGTTGTTTGACCAAAGGTGTAAACCTAAATTTACATTACCTTGTCAAAAATGATTGCCTGCTGATTAGAGCAGTTGCTCTTTGCCATTGACTTTATAATGTCACCATAGCAACACAACATGCCTGCGGTCGAATTAGTCTGTACCTGCTTGGATTTGGTGTACATTTCTGAAAGCGGTGGACCCCTGAAAGTGCTCTGTCTTATATGTTCACACAAGTAATAATGCAAACAAACATGGCAATTACACAAAGGCTGTGTACTGTTAACTTTAATTTGCACATTAGGACAAAGTTTCTGCCCCAGTACTCTGTGTGAGTATTAGAACAAAAGTAATATATTCTTGTAGCATGCTGACACCAGTCTCTGGATTTGACTGATATCATGTAAAAAAAGTAGAATCTGTATGAACTACTGAATTTTGAAATTGTGTTTGTATTTGCACATATCCTCCTTCCCAGTGCCAACGTACGTAAATACTTGAGAACTTTCTTGAAAGTTATGTTAAAGTGTATTTCTATGGATTGTTTGGTGGTGATTTGTACTATGAGCTTGTGATCTTGGATAACTTTATACACAATTTGCATCTATCGTGAAATGACTCATCATTTGAATGAGCACTCTACTTACTGAGAATACTCTTCTTTGAGCCATTGAAAGGCTTCTCAGCAAAATACAGTGCTTTTTGTCATACTTGTATTTGGCAACAGAAGTGGGCGCTACACTTTGTCATGATATGTACAGTTTTGTGATAACTTTTGTAAAACTGTTCAGTAAATATTTGAAATATAATTTTACTGTATCTGTTTCCTATGTATTTTAACTAAATAAAAACAGCTTGTCAAACTGCAATGTGATATGTGTTTGTTCTTTTGCTTCACGCTGGATAGTAATGGTGGAAATTTTCAATCATGGCAGGTGTCTTAGAGGTCTATCGCTCGGCTATTATGGTGTTTGCATTAGCAACTAAAACTATGTTCAAAGCATAATTTCTGAGGCCATTTACATAATGACTCCAAACTGCTCATAATAGGTCATTTGGCTCCACTGGATTGGTAATTATTGCTGCAGAGATAGATTGATAGAGTGAAAGAACATCTTTGTTCAAGCACAGACATGTAACAGGGAGGAAAATCAAACTATTTGTATGTCTGGTTTCTAAAATGCTAATGTTTTTCTTTCAACATTCAGTTACTTGTTTTTGTTCCTTTTTTCTCTGTCTGGACTGAAGGACATTTCCTAGTGATCTGAATACATGAATATTACTCCTTGGACAGCCATAGACACAAAGTATAGGCATTTTCTGTATGTGTTTAGGAAAGTTAGTGAAAATATAAGTTGTATTCTGGTAACACTATTTTGAGTGGTCCTTAACAGAGTAACACGTCAACAACATATCAGTAGAGTAGCAGTAGCAAGGCATCTGAATACATTGAAGTAAATATCTTGAAAATGTTCTGTTGATACATTACTTACATTAAGTAGATTGTATTGTTGATATGTTACATGAAGTAGACTTAATATGGTGCTTCCATTAAGCCTAACCTTACTTGACCTCAACCCAAAAGCCAAGATGGTCTATAGTAAACCTGTTACATGTTCAGTGCAGTTAATTAAAAGTCTCTTGATAATCTACTGAATGTATCCACTGCTACTACATTATAGATCTGTTGTTGATGTGTTCCTGTTGTTGATGTGTTCCTTGTTGAGTGCTTATGTAATCTAAAAAGAACCACTCCAAATAAAGTGTCACCTAAGTGTCTTCGTCACAGTTGTGACCGTTGGGAAATCTTTCTTTTACAGTCTCTTAAGACTGTAAAAGAATTAAATAGGTATGTATGTAGCAGAAACTTCAAAGTACTGTGTGATTATTTTGCATATCATGTGCCACAGACACACACACTCACACCTAAAGCCAATTAGGATCTCCAACAGGTCTGACCGTGTGTCTGTGGACCGTGGGAGGAAACCCATGTCGACAACATGCAAACTCCACACAGAAAGGACCCTGGTTGTCTGCGCAGGGAATCAAACCCAGGCCCTTCTTGCTGTGTGGTGACAGCACTACCCACTGTACAAAAGGTTCTAGATATTGTAATACCATAAAACCATGCTAAAACTTCCTTTTACAGCCCAGGTTCAGTTTTATTTCTGGGAAAGAAACTGGTAAATACTATATAAGACTATGTTTTCAAATGTCTTTGTCTTGGTACCACCTTTATATCCTATTTAACTACTTGCTACATAAAGATATTTGTGATAACATTTGACATTGCAGTGACATTGTTACACCAAATAATTACCCAATTATTAGGCAATTTACTATGTCACTTCAAAAGATAGAAACTGTTAGGTGTTACAATGAAATTTACTTAGACTGTCTGGCTACTTATTAACATTTTACCAAAAAAATTACACACCTCTTTGTTGTACCTAGCACTTACTCAGTAAATATCTAGAGCCTGTAGACATTTCAGTGTAATTTAGGTGAATGTTTTTGGAACTTACCATCATATTACCCGAAATAATGACCTAGTATTTTGAAACTTGTACCTCATACTTGCCTAGTTAATACAGAGAACTGTAAAATGGTGCTGCCCAAATCTTATTAACCCCTTAAAATCCCAGCCTAGGTTTATTACCTACTAAGGTTTATCATTCAATAACTACAGGGACTTCAGTGCAGACTGGCTGAGCTATTCTTAGGTTATAGAAGTGTGTAGTAAAACTTTGGGGTTGCCGCTGAGTCCTGGCCATTTAAGGGGTCAAAATATAACAGATCAATAATAGACCTTTTAAAGATTATGTGTACCAAATATGGTATCTCTGTGATAACATATTTTACCAATCTGCTTTGTGTAGAACTTTAAAAGGATCTTTCGGGTGCATACTTGAAGTAAATGGCTCTGATCATGTGACCAATAAAACCCCCACATACAAATATTCATATAAAATCAAAACAACCAATACTTTAATTTTTAATTTACCATCCAGTAGAAACACATTAACTAATCTTTTAGAGCTTTAGGGATGCAGACCATTCCTTAAAATATATGCATTGTTACTGGACATCAATGACATCTCTAAACAACAGCAATCAAACTCCATAGGCTGACTCTGAGAAGTTAGGCAACTCTAATCACACCTGAAGAAGAGGCACATTTTCCTCAAGTGCCAAAAACAGGATGAACAAAGAAAAAAGCTTTTGCTCAAAGGAGGGGAGGCCTTTATATCTCTGATGTCTACAAAGCACCACTTCAAACATGCAGCGAACACAGGAAGACCTTGATCAGGCTGAAGGCCTCTGCCTCCTCCTTTATCTCCAAGGATATCAAAAGAGCTGTCTGCTGCAGATGTCTTTTTGCTGAAAACTAGCTCTGTTCAGTTGAAGGCTGAGAATGGTAGTTTGGTGGAGCACTGCATTAGCTTTGCTGCAGAATGTGCACCAGTAATATGTAGGCGAGAATGTCTTCCACCTTGTCTATTGAAAGCAAGGCTGTTTGGAAACCTTTGGAGAGGCTTGTGCTCAAAGTTAAAAAAGAGCACAGGGATGAAGATTTTCTACGTAACCCTATGAACTATAGCAACATCCCATATTTAAAATACAATCCAGTATTCAAAAGAACCTAACAAGGACTCTGACAACAAACCACCATACTGCATCATTAGATTGGCATTTGTCAAAATGTGTTAGAAGTATTTCAATAAACCGTCAGTCAACTTTGCAATAGCAATAACTTTGCCATCAATTAAAAATAATAAAAGCATAAAAATCACAGCAAGAAGGGCCTGGGTTTGATTCCTGGCTGGGTGACCAGGGTCCTTTCTGTGTGGATTTTGCATGTTCTCCCCGTGTTTGCGTGCGTTTCCTCCCACAGTCCAAAGACATGCAGTCAGGCCAATTGGACATACTGAATTGGCCCTAGGTGTGAGCGTGTGTGTGAATGTATGTGTCTGTCTGTACATGCCCTGCAATGGACTGGTGACCTGTCCAGAGTGTATCTTGCCTTCTGCCCAATGACTGCTGGGATAGGCTCCAGCTCCCCTCCCCCTGCATCCCTGTGGGATAAGTGGTTCAGACTGTGTGTGTGTGTGTTTTGATAGACAAAATCATAAAATGATTGAAGTCCTTCAAACTGGAGTATTTTTAAAGGAACAGTGTATAATTCTGGTTTATCTGGTATCCAATAAAATGCAATTAAGGCACACAAAGAGCACAATGGTCTACTGTGTTAAGCCTGAAACTAAAAGATGTAACTGGTCAGTTTAATGTAAATAAATATATTTTTAAATCACATCATTCATAAACAACTATGGCTTAAACAGAGAGGATCTTTCTTGAATCCATATTTTCCATTGCGTCTTTATGTCTCTGCACACAGACTCATGGGAAATGGAGTCCATATGCAGCATATTTCATGTTCCTTTACTGTAGCAGACTGAGTCAGCTACACTTTACTAAAGTTCAACTGTGAAGAATGTTTAAAATTGTAAAAAAATAAAAAGTTAACCAAGCAGGCTGTCTGTGATAATGTAAGATACTCTTCTCACCTTGATTAAAAAAAAACTAATGATGTAGCCCAGCTTGTTAGTGATATCTATCTAGTTTAGTAGGTCTACCAGATTTAGTTACTTTACCAAATTGAGAAAAAAACTTCCACATGTAAAAGTCTGCATCTGTGTCTGTGTGAAACCTGTCTGCATGTCTAACTAGAGCTACTAGGTATCTGGTTTTTGGACTGGAGAGTCCAGTTTAGAGCTCTGTTGTCCGATGCCCTTTAGAGAGATCAGAGATGTGTTTGTGCAAATGGTGATGAAGACAAGAAAGTCTGATATTAGAACTGTTTTGAGGGTCCAAGTCAAAGTGTGAGCGTAAAGATTTGGTTAACCAACAAACTGTCAGACTTAACATACAGTAGATTATGCTACACAGTAAATGCACACTGTATGTGTTTCAATAGTTTAATAAGTCTCTCTCACATAGGCTTTAGATACACATTTAAACATATGGACGTTTGATATTCATTTTAACAATATTAAGAGATTGAGCTAATAATAACTAAACAAACAAAACTGAAGAAACATCTTCGAAAAAAAGCTTATAAAATGTAATAATTAGAAATGCAATTTTCTTGTGAGGAAAAAAGTTAGGACACACCCACATTTGCTTCTACTTAAAATGCCTAAAATTAGAATTAGGTGCACCACATCAGCTGCAAAAATAGGACATCATTAGAGATGATTCTGGTGGAGGCTGTGTTATTTTATAAACCTCAGACATTTAATTTGGTTTGCTCTTGATCACTGAAGTGAGTGGAATCACCATGGTAAGATACAAAGAGCTCTCTGAGGCCTGCAGAAAGAAGGCTGTAGATTCATAGATGCATATAAGTGTGGGACAATCCTGAAATATCATCAAAAGATCGTCAAGTAGCTCCAGCCACAGTTGTTGTCAAAGTATATGCATCTACCATCAGTAAGAGGCTGCACAAGTTTGATTATCATGGGAGGTGTTCAAGGAGGAAACCAACAGCAAGACTAAAGTTTGCCAGAGAACACTTAGAGGAAGACCAGGACCTCTAGAACAATGTGCGTTGGACAGATGAATCCAAAGTTAAATTATTTGGTCACAGGAACAAAAGACATGTTTGGCGCAAACCAAACACAGTATTTGAGCACATGAACGTCATACCAGCTGTGAAGCATGGAGGTGGAAATGTCATGGTTTGGGGCTGCTTTGCTGCAGCAGAGCCTGGTAAGCTCTCTATCATAGAATCCACTATGAATTCTTTATTGTATCAGAATTGCTTGAGGAAAATATGAGACCATCTGTCCAAAAACTGAAGCTGAAG